CGTTTCCCCACAATGTTTGTCTTGTCTTTGGACACGTCAGGTCTCTCCTGTTGGTAATTCCCTCTTCTAAGAGTTGTCCCTATTGCAGCAAGGCAGGGAGTAGGGGAGAGGGGATGGGGTGAGCAGGTACTGTGAGGATGCGGGGGTGTCTTTCTTGTGACCTCCGAATCCAAAAGAGGGCGCCACGAGATGCCGCCACACGCATATGTTGGTCCATTGCTCAGGATGCAGAGCAAGCTAGGTGGGAGGAGCCTTCCCACCCAGGCCTCCGTCTCACAGGAAATCTGATGCCTTAAACCTCGACCTCAACACTCAGTGACTTCAACCTCTAGCGGTACCACTCTGGTAATTAGCACGTGGAATCGGAGACAGGCTTTTGCATCCTGAAGCGGGCTCCAAGGACTTCTTCTGCCCTTTTCTTCCAGGTCTTCCGAAATAGTTGGAGATAACAGCTTCTCCCCAGGTCACTTGTGGGCCGTGAACTCTATGAGAATCCCTCGTTTCTCCCTGGCTTTGGGGCTTCCAGACTTGGGTTTGAAGCTTAGGTCCACCGCTTATTGACCAGTTAGGAAACCTCCGTGAACACTGGTTTTCTCGCCTTGAATGGAGGCACAGAGTAACTTAGCAGCCCATACACATGAGCTATAATCAGGTACTTAACATTTTTGCCAATGGATCTTGATGGTAAGTTAGCAAATCAGCAGGCAGTTATCTTCTATTGGATAGATGGGAACAAACGAGAGAGACTCGTGATCCTCAAAGGCTGTGTTTTTGTCCCAAATCAACTTTCCAAGTACAGAACTGGGGGGACATGTGATTTAATGGCAGCATCTTTGTGATCCTGCGATATAATAAGAAACCTGTATTTGGTCTTTATTCCCCAGTTCCTAGCACAAGAGCTTCTAAAACCCTTGGAATTTCCCGAGTAATAGGGTTGAGAGGAGCATCAACCACACCTGAGTTTATGCTACTGAAGTGACTTTTTGGGGGGAGGGGGCTTGAGAGCTTCAGGATGGGGGTTGGTTACCAGAGGAACCAGCTAAGTGATTAGAGGGCTGGAACTTTCAGCCCCACCTTCTGACCTCCAGGGAGGGGAGAGGGGCTGGAGACTGACTTAATCACCAAAAGCCAAAGATTCGATCTATCATACTTACGTAATGAAAGTTCCATCAAAACCCCTAAATGATGGGCTTTAGAGAGCTTCTGGGTTGGTGAACACACTGAGGTCCCGGGAGGGGGATGTGCCCAGAGAGGGCAAGGAAGCTCCACCTACCCCCCTCCCCTACGCACCTCTTCCATTTGACTGTTCATTTGTATCCTTTAGAATATCCTTTGTAATAAACTGGTACTAGCAAGTAAAGTGTTTCCCTGAGTTCTGTGAGCTGTTCTAGCAAATCATTGAATCTGAAGAGGGAGTTTTGGGAACCTCCGACTTTATAGCTGGCCGGTCAGAAGTACAGGAGGCCCTGGGACTTGCAGTTGGCATCCGAAGAGGGTGCAGTTTTGTAGGACTGAGTCCTTAACCTGTGGGGTCTGTGCTAACTCTGGAGAGTTAGTGTCAGAATTGAATTAAGCCACAGAACACCCAGTTGGTGTCCAGAGAGTTGGAGAATTGGCTGGTGTGGGAAAAACCCCCATACCTCTGGTGTCAGGAGTGTGAATAGAAACAGATCATAACCTGTGAAATAGATTTAGGTGTCTGGTTCACAATGTGCCCCTGTTGGGAGCAGGGCACGACAAGGTAATCTGATGGTGTCAGGGTTCTTTAGTTGCAAGCGATGGAAACAGACTTTGACACTCAGTGGAAAAGGCCTTTGCTGGAAAGGTACGGAATGGTTGTTGGATGCTGAAGAGCCAAGCCTCAGGGAGAAGAGGATCGGGCCTTTAGCAGGAATGAATGGACAGCTCCGTGTCTCCTCCTGCTCCTCCTGCCCCACCGGAACTTCTCTGCTACATCATTCTCCCCAAGGCTCAGAACCCGAGGAACCAGAGTCTGAATGGCTGAAAGTGGGTTTTCTGTGCCCCCCTCCCACCCCAGCAGGAGGGGGCAGGGAGAACCCTGACTGGGGTGCTCTCAGAACTTCTCAGAATAAGGGAAGAAAATTTCCTACTGGGAAGTCAGGGTGCTTTCACCCAAAAATGTGGAAAGGCATGTTTGACAGGCTGAAGAAGCAAGAAACCTCTGGCATGCCTTTTTTAGGCTTCATTGTTTAAAAGAAAAGGACCACAGGAAAACAAGGAAATGATTCCATCTTATCCTTCCCTGGCCAGGATCAGGCCCAATTCTGGGCAGCACACTTTCAGAGGCCTTTGACTGCTTAGGTGGTGTTCAAAAAGAGTAACTAAGATGGTGAACATCTGGAAAACATGACACCTAAGAAATGGGTAACGACTCGAGGAGACTGAACCCAAAGAAGAGAAGACTGATGGGCATCTGACGGCTCTTCTCAGGCGTCTGAAGGTCTGGAATGTAGAAGAAGAAGAATTTTGTATTTAATGGCTCTAAAAGGAAGAAATAAAACCAACAAACAGATATTAAAGGGGGACAGATTTCAGCTCAATGCAGCATATATAAGAAAGATCTTACCAAAAAAAAAAAATCTACAGCTGGAAATTAAATGAGCTGGTGCAAGATAGGGAACTTTCCGTCCCTGGGAAGCCTCAGTTCTTTAATTAGCAAGAGCAACGAGCACACTCCTCGCATCAGACGACAACACACCCTATCACGGCCCTGCTGCTGAGGACCCTGACCAAAGGCTTTCACAGAAACAGCTCTCCCCGTTTGGCCACATCTACCACAGAGCACTTTTCTGTATGTGGAGTTCCAGATGTGCACAACGTGAGTGATGACAGATGGAGAGGACACGGAGGGCCTCCGAATATCCTCTCAAACCACCTGCCCAGGGCCACATGGTACAAGCATACCATGTGCGAGTCCTTAATTTAGAGCATTGCTTCACACAAGGGCCTCTTTAGGGACGGGTTGTATTCATGTGCGTCCTCCATGTACTTTTCAGTGTGAGTCAAGCCCACATCTTGCTTTATCACTGAACAACATTCAGCAAAAATACGTGCAGTCTCTTGGGCTATAGCATTCATTAGAAAATTACAGTATCAGAGTGGGAAGGGACTTTGTGATCAATGAGTTTACAACGCTTGAATATATCCAGTAGCGTTCTCAACGAGTTGATTTGTAACCTGGTCTTGATTTCCTTAAAACACACAATCTCCTAAAGTAATCCACACCACTTTGGGCAGTTTTAGTTGCTAAAATTCTTGATTACTTTGGGGTAAAATCTACCCACTATGTGGCTATATCTATCAAAGTTTAAAACGCACAAAGCCACTTTTAGCAATTTATCCTACAGACATAATCCCCATGGGCTCAAAGACATGTGTCAAAGATATTCACTGCAGCGAAGGGTTAGAAATCATTTATTTATTTATTTATTTAATTTTGGCTGTGTTGGGTCTTCGTCGCTGCGTGCGGGCTTTCTCTAGTTGTGGTGAGCGGGGGCTACCCTTCGTTGTGGTGCGCAGGCTTCTCATTGTGGTGGCTTCTCTTGTTGCAGAGCACGGGCTCTAGGCACGCGGGCTTCAGTTGTTGTGGCGCACGGGCTTGGCTGCTCCACGGCATGTGGGATCTTCCCAGAACAGGGCTCGAACCCGTGTCCCCTGCATTGGCAGGCGGATTCTTAACCACTGCACCACCAGGGAAGTCCCTGGAAATCATTTAAATGTTTAACAAGGGGATTGATTAAAGAAATTATGGAATGTCTATTCTACGGAATATCAGGCAGGTGTTAAACAAACTCTTCTCATGTACTGACAGGGAAAAGCCTTTACGTTGGTTCTCTGCTCCTGGTTATGTTGTTTAGTGGGAAAAAGAGATTGGATCCATAATACATTTGACATTTATATAATTGAAAAGAAGGATACACATGAATATATGTTTAGGTTTTATCTGGAAAGTTACTGGCAACTGTGGTTGCCTCTGAGAAAGGAAACTGTGAGATTGGGTGTCGGGGTTGAAGGGAGAATTTTATGTGTATATGTTTATGAATATATGTATAGGTAGACATATACATATGTTTATATATATATGTATATATGTATCTTTCTTTTTTCTTCTGACATTTTTTTTACCCTGCACATGTATCACTTTACTTCTTTAAAAATATGCCTTCAAGGCAACAAAAACAAAGATAGACCAATGAGACTACGTCCAACTTAAAAACTTAAGTGCATCAAAGGAAACAATCAACAGAGTGATAAGGCAACCTACAGAATGGAAGAAAATATTAGCAAATCATGTATCTGATAATAGATTAATATCCAGAATATGTAAGGAACTTCTAGAAATCAACAAAAAACCCCAAAAAAACCCAATTTTAAAATGGGCAAAGGACTTGAATAGACCATTCTCCAAAGATGATATAAAAATGACCAACAAACATATGAAAAGATGCTCAACATCATTAATCATCAGATAAATGCAAATCAAAACCACAGTGAGGTATCACCTCACATGCATTAGGATGGGCACTATCAAAAGACCAGAAAATAATAAGTGTTGGCGAGGACTTGGAGAAACTGGAACCCTTGTGCACTGTTGGTGGGAATGTAAAATGGTGCAGCCATATGGAAAACAGTATGGAATTTCCTTAAAAAATTAAAAATAGAATTACCATATAATCCAGAAATTCCACTCCTGGGCATATACCCCAAAGAATTCAAAGCAGGATTTCAAAGAGATAATTGCACATCCATGTTTATTGCACCGTTAATTCACAATAACCAACAGGTGGAAGCAACCCAAATGCCAGTCAACAGATGAATAGATAAAATGTGGTCTATACATACAATGAAATATTATATAGCCTTAAAAAAGAGGGAAATCCTGTCACATGCTACAATATGGATGAACTTTAAGCACACTATACTAAGTGAAATAAATCAGTCACAACAGGACAGATACTGTATGATTCCACTCACATGAAGTATCTAAAGTAGTGAAAATCATAGAAACAGAAAGTAGAAAGGTGGTTGCCAAGGGCTTGAGTGAGTGGGAATTAATGTTTAATGGGTATAGAGTTTCCGTTTTGCAAGATGTTGTACAATGATGTGAATATACTTAACAATACCAAATTGTACACTTTAAAATGGATAAGATGGTTAGAAAAAAAAAATCTGACCTCTTAAATCCTAGCACTGGGCCCACTTGATTCCACCCCTCAAAGCTGTACAGAACACTTTCATGTTTTTCCTACTACGCATGCATTTGAAGACTTCTAACCATGGCCCCTTGGACCACCTGCTCTTCTCCAGGTTAAACAATCTGCATCTTTACATCATCTCTTCCACTCTGGCCACCGGGTTACCTGGCCCAGCTGGCCCAGAACCTGCAGTGCTGTAGCAGGACCATGGGCACCCTTGACAGGCTGAAGCCCATGCACGGTGGCAGAGGATAGACCCTGTCTGGAGCAGCTAGTGCAAGCAGAGTGGTTACGATTTGCTGGAATAGAAGAGAAAACCAGTATCCTTAAATTGGCAATTCTACTTTACACTTTTTTTTTTAACATCTTTATTGGAGTATAATTGCTTTACAATGGTGTGTTAGTTTCTGCTTTATAACAAAGTGAATCAGTTATACATATACATATGTCCCCATATCTCTTCCCTCTTGCATCTCCCTCCCTCCCACCCTCCCTATCCCACCCCTCTAGGTGGTCACAGAGCACCGAGCTGATCTCCCTGTGCTATGCGGCTGTTTCCCACTAGCTAGCTATTTTATGTTTGGTAGTGTATATATGTCCATGCCACTGTCTCACTTTGTCCCAGCTTACCCTTTCCCCTCCCCATATCCTCAAGTTCATTCTCTAGTAGGTCTGCATCTTTATTCCCGTCTTGCCCCTAGGTTCTTCTGACCATTTTTTTTTTTAGATTCCATATATATGTGTTAGCATACGGTATTTGTTTTTCTCTTTCTGACTTGCTTCACTCTGTATGACAGTCTCTAGGTCCATCCACCTCACTACAAATAACTCAGTTTCATTCCTTTTCATGGCTGAGTAATATTCCATTGTATATATGTGCCACATCTTCTTTATCCATTCATCTGTCGATGGACACTTAGGTTGCTTCCACGTCCTGGCTATTGTAAATAGAGCTGCAATGAACATTTTGGTACATGACTCTTTTTGAATTATGTTTTTCTCAGGGTATATGCCCAGTGGTGGGACTGCTGGGTCGTATGGTAGTTCTATTTTTAGTTTTTTAAGGAACCTCCATACTGTTCTCCATAGTGGCTGTATCAATTTACATTCCCACCAACAGTGCAAGAGGGTTCCCTTTTCTCCACACCCTCTCCAGCATTTATTGTTTGTAGATTTTTTACTTTACACTTTTTAAGGCATTTTACAAACAGGATTAAATTTACTACTCACCACGCCCCTTTGGGCAGGCATTTCAGGAAGAGAAGGCCTCGGTCAGAGAGATCAGCATTTACACCGGTCCTCTTAAGTCCTTACTGGGTGGGCCCTTTCCACTCTGCAGCCTGCCTTTGATTTCACATTAAAAACAAACCAAAAAACAAATAAAAACAAAACCGAAACGATCATTTGCTAAATTGTCCCAAGTCTTATAATTTTGACAGATTGAGAAAGTTTTCTATAGAGTTAGAAGAAACAGATTGAACTGTTCCCCATATCACAGTGCACATCCGTGAGGGCCAAAGGCCATTTGTGGGGTGCCCTTGGGTACCTAGCCCTCCCTGAGCCAGGAGAGCTGCGGGCCTTGTCTTTGGCTCTGCTGGCAAGACCTGAGCCTGCCTCCACCCAAGGGTAAGACAGCCGTTTAACCTCCACTCTGCGGAAAGAGCAGCTCCCTTCCCATGGCTGCACAGGAAGCCCAGAGCATCCTTAGGGAAACCCTCAGATCTGTGACCTGGGCCCTGCCCAGGGCTCAAGGGGATCCCTGTCTTTCAGGTGCTGGAAATGGAAAATGGTGGCTGAGAGAGGGGGTAAGGTGAAGGGAAAGACGGCCCCTGGCAGCCAGGACGAAAACGTGTGGTACCCAGAGGCCTCCAGCAAGCCCGGCTGGGCTGTGCACACCCCCCGGGCCCTGGCTGTTTTCTTCCCAGTCGGCGCGCGCCCCTGAGGCTGCACATTGGCCTCTACTAACTTTATCTTCCCCTTTTAGGCCGCTGCCCCTGGCCATTTTAACCTAATTTCATCAAGATAAACAAGTTAGGGAAGCAGAAGGAAGAGGCACATAGGAAAATTTCCTTGCAGTCTGGAGTATCAGGGTCCCCCAGGGAATGAGAAGAGGGCGTCTCTTCTTGAACGTAGAAAAAGACATTTTTACTGCAAAAGATACTCCCCGGTGTCCTAAACTGGCAGACGCTGGGCTAGGGAGAAAGGAGGCGGGGAGAGGAAGGTGGAGGGGTTTCTGCAGGAAGTCAGCTTTCTGGCCTCTCACTGATAGATCTAGTTACGGAGGGAGAGATTTAAAATATTTAACACGCCCGCCCGACCAACCAGAGCAGCCGTCCGCGGGGGGCCTCCGCGCCAGCTCCTGGAGGCCCTCTGCTGGGCCGTGTGTTCCCCGCTGGCTGGCTGTGCGGTGGCGGGAGGTGGCGGGCGAGCGGGCTGCGGCTGTTTACCGACCGGTGTGAAGTGTTTGCACACGAACGCGTGGTGTGGCCGCAGCGTCTCACAGCAGCGGAATGTCGGTCTGGGGGGCCCCGCATCAGAGACGCTGGCCCCGAATGCCTGACCGCCGCCTCGAGCTCCCTGGGTGCTTATTCCAAATCACTCCCAGCATCGGTGGCCTCACCCCGTTCCCTGGCAGAATCGCAGATGTTTGTCTCCCGCCCCCACCCCCCGCGCAGATTCGGGCAGTGCCCGGATGTCCTGGGGAGCAGCTGGGTGCCTCCTGGCCTGCGGGACTCGTGTGCGTGTGGCTGACGTTCGAGGAGCCGGCAGCTTTTGCTTTACCAGGAGGGATCTTTCTCTTGTTTCCTCACCCTCTCCTTCCCGGCTGACGTGCAGCCGACACATGCTGGTGCCTCATCTCAGCAGGAATCCGGGGTTTTGTCTCTGTAAAGAGGAGGGGCCCACGCTTCCAGAGCCACTGACAGATGTCTGCGGGAAGCGGCCTCCACACCTGCCAAACCGACAGCTTCCTTTCTCAGTCTCAAGGGCTCTGGGGAACGGGAGCATTTGGAAAATGTGTCGTATGCCCTGCAGTTTCCACCTTCTCGGAAGACCGGCTATCTCATCTGAGAGTGAAAAATCAGGCAGCCAGAGTTTCCTGAGATGGGAGGCGAGAGGTGGCATGTGAGACAATGTACATGTCACCCAGGAGCCTCCCTTCCTGAGACCAGCCTGGGGTGGGGCCCGGGGACGGTTAGACGCCTTGTCCTGAAAGAGGAGACCGTAAAGATCCGTCTTCATTTTCACGATCTGAAAACTTCTGGCGAGGCTTGAAATGGAGCGCTGCGTTTTATTCTTATTTCTATACATATTACTTTTTCTTCTAACGTATATAGTTTTAAAATTCACATGTTTAGGAGGCTTATAGAAACGTCACACCCAGTGCCTCCTGCCTCACCCATTCTTACCTCCAGTTACTGTTCCCCAAAGCCAACGGCTGGCTGTGCTTTTAGTGGTACTCCTGGTATTGGCAGCAGTCGTTCTAAACAGTATGTTTATAAAACTGCATCTTTACTTTCATAATTTTAGAAATGTTCTACTGACTTATTGCTGTGGAAGATGAGGGTTTAGCTTTCGTCCCCCCTCCTAGACACAGGTGTTCATACTTCTCCCTCACTTCCCCATAGAGTTCTCTTCCCATCTTAGATGCCATCCATTATAAGATGTACCATTGTTTATGAGTCACTGCAAAAGCATGAACATGCTCCCAGTTAAACTTAGAAACAATACTTTCTTATCACATTGACCATGAGGTGCAGTCTGACTTCCAAGATGTTAAAATGTGAGAAGTATGTGCATGTTAGAATATTATAAATTATGGGATGGCACAATTCTTGATTAAATCACTCTCAGTATTTGCATTATTTTGAGTGTCTACATCGTGCACTATAATTACATTTTGGTTCTTGTACATCTCCCCGCGCCCCCCCGCCCCGAGTAAATAATTGCCTTATCTATTTAATTGTGTAGTTCTTTGGGTGTTTATGAGTAATGCATCCCCAGACGCTCCTCAGCGTGATGAACACTGATTAGTAATCTCTCAGTTGTGTTTCCCTCCCTGTGGGGATGTCTTCCTGGAGCTGTCTTCCCGCTCCAAACTCAGGGCTGGTTCCCCCTTGGCCCACTGCAGTTACCAGCTCAGAGCTTCCCTTTAGCATCATCCTGGGAATCCTCTTTCCTTCTCTCCTATGTTGGATCCTCTGTTTCCTGGGGCTTCTCTCTTCTTTCTTAGGTAATTCTTTGTTTTGTTGAAGCGCATCCTTCAGTAGATTCCTGAGAAAGGGTTCATGGCAGGTAAATGTCTGGGGACCTTGTAAGTGTCTTTATTCGACTGTTGCACTTGATAGCTTGTCTGGATATAGAATTTGACTTTGCAAATAATTTGTCTTCATGTTAGAGGCTTTCCGCCGATGTCTGGTGGTTTAGTGCTCACAGTAAGGGGATGTGTGCCTGGGCGAAGTTTATGAACCAGTGGGCTCCGGGTTGGTGATTCTGCAGCAACCTGGATGTTTCATTAGGGGATCCTGGTAGGCCAGTGTCTGTAAGTCTTTTCTCTTGGACTTGCCAGCTTCCCTAGAGATGAATCATCGGATCTGCCTGTGGGGTATAAGCCTCACTGCCAGCATTCTGGGAGCCAAGAGGGGGGAAGAGACTGCAGGGTGTTATAATCCAGAATGCAGACTGTCATTTAATCCTGTTTCAGCAGCGGGTCACGTGCCAGCTCCCAGCTGTGCCCACTGTCCAGATGATCTCCGATTCAACCTTTTCTCCCAGGGCTGGGCAGGGGCATGGCCTGGCTGCACAGGTTTGTGGGAAGAAGTAGGGAGTCTCCTCGTTCCTTGCACAAATTTTCAACACATTTGTTTTCAGTGCACCTGCACCTATATTCTGCACAAAGGGAACCAATTTCTGTTTCTTTCTAAGGCTCTGTGGAAGCTGGCTTGCTTCTTCCAGGCTCCCTCCCTATGGGCTTGGGTTTTGGCTGTATCTTCTCTGCTAAATTAATTAACTCTCGTTCATCTGCTTGTCTAGTTTCCAGAATATTGTTGACATTGTTTTGTCTCCTGTTGTCTCCATTCCTGTTCTCTCTTTGTCCTTATGGGGCTAGACAAGGTGTGTTGGTCAATGTTTGACAAGTGGCTCCTGGGGGGGAGGGGGAGCCCTGATCTGTAGCAGTCCAGTTTCTGGGGTGTAAATGTTCCTACTGTGGCTATTTCAGGCAACCAAGAGGATATCACTGAACAGGCAGATGGGAAGAAATACAGAGAAGCACATCATTACAGATACGATAGACATAAACACTAGCTATAAAAAACCTCAAGAGAATATATAATCGTAAAATTACTATGAAGTGATAAGTTTTGAGAAATTATTAGCTTTGTTTTCAATGTAATTTTTAAAATTGTAAGCTTATGTAATTTAGCTTCCAAAATAACTGTATTTAACAACTGGTTCAAAAAATTCCTAAAAATTTAACAATCAGTTCTCACAAGTCAGTATCAGCTGGCCCCGGCATACCACTGGGTTAGTGCCTTCTTAACAGTTTAACTGTCGTTTCAGTACATTATGGAAAAACTGTTTTTCAAATGAAAACACTAATTCAAAAAGCTACATGCACCCCAGTGTTCATAGCAGCACTATTTACAATAGCCAAGACATGGAAGCAACCAAAGTCCCATCAACAGATGATTGGATTAAGAAGATGTGGTACGTATACAGAATGGAATATTACTCAACCACAAAAAAGAATGAAATAATGCCAATTGCAGCAACATGGATGGACCTAGAGAATATTATGCTTAGTGAAATAAGTCAGACAGAGAGAGACAAATACTGTATGATATCACTTATATGTGGAATCTAAAAAATAATACAAATGAGTGTATATGCAAAACAGAAACAGACTCACAGATACAGAGAACAAACTAGTGGTTACCAAAGGGGAGAGAGAAGGGAGGATGGTCAAATTAGGGGAATGGGATTAACAAACTACTATATATAAACTACGTAACCAACATGGATATACTGTATAGCACAGGGAGTTACACCTATTATCTTGTAATAACCTGTAATGGAATATAATCTGCAAAAATACTGAATCACTGTGCTGTACACCTGAAACTAATGCAATATTGTAAATCAACTATACTTTAATTAAATAAACTGTTTTTCAATTTGCTGCTCTGTAGCATACAATTACCTTTCCTCCTATATTGGGGTTTCCCCCCAGTTTTATGGAGATATAATTGACATATAATTCATATGATGTTAACACAATGGTAATTCATCCAAAATTCACATTATGTAACTATAAATCTCCAACTGTGGTGAGGGAAGGATGATGCCTCAGTGGAATGGATGATGCTTGACTTGAGAGGAGTTACAATGAGGAGAGGGTACGTAATCAGTACAGGTGGTACTCAGGGGAAAAGGCTGTCAACGAGATCGGGCAGGAGGTCCTACTAGGACAAGGCAGTAACTGGGCCAAACTTTCTGTTTTGATTTAACCTCCGTTTTTAAAAAGACCGTTTAGTGTATCTGTGGTTCTTAGCAGATCTCTGAAGTAGTGCCAACCAACTTCTCACTCCAGACACACAGGACTGTGTAATAGCATTGAGTGACTGCACGGAGGGTTTCATTAGCTAAGCTCAAAGCATTTTACCCAAAGTGCCTCATTAAGTCTCACCACATCCCAATGTGGGAGTTGAAGGGGAATATCATTATCCCCATTTTACAGAAGGAAGAAACAGAGGCCTCAAAGCAAATCAACAATAGCTGAGACTGGCTCGTCAGCCTGCAAATCCAGTATGCTATCATTTCATAACAGGATCTTAGGCACTAATTTATGTTTTCTGCCTCTATAAGTAAGGGTGCAAGTTTTGTTCTCTGAAATATCAAAAAGTTCTTTTAAGTCTAAATTGTATGATTCTGGTTTTGACCTTTGTTGACCCTCTCACACCTTCCTACATGCATGATTTTATAGTATTTTATGTATATTATTCAACATAACTCCGGTCTGGCTGTAGGAATAGGGGCAGGTTGGCAAGAGCAGAAGGCAGTGCCATTTGGGTAGCAAGTAGAAGAGCAGATACTGTGGTTTGGTCTCCACACTGCGCAGATCACAGAGCACTAACAACCGCCAGAAGAGACAATAGACTGTTGGAGCGTTTACTGTGTGCCACATGTGGAACTGAGCACTTTACATGTGCTATCTCATTTAAATCAATTTAATCTTCACAATAACAATTTGTGGTTGGTGTTAATATTATCCCTACTTTACACACGAGGAAAGTGAAGCTTACAGGGTTTAAGGAAACACAGCCAGCTTCTTGGCTACAGTAATGGGTGTAGAGCTGGACCTGTCACCCAACAGAGTCCCAACTCAGGGTATACTGAACTGGACCCAGAAGAAGAACCCTTCCTTCTCTGGTCAAAGGGTCATTTGACTGGGAACCCAGTGAGGTGGGCTCCCATATCCACTGCTGTGTGAAGAAAGGTCTCTGTAGGAGGAGAGAATGAAATCCACACACAAAAAAGCAGAGACAAAACGGGGAGAAAGAATTACTATGGAATTAAAATCCTTGCCTCTGAGTCCCTGCCTCCCTTATCTAAGCTAGTGTAAGTTCAGTTTGTCACTTGGCCCCTGCGAGAGCCTGACCAACACAAGTGTTTAAGCCCCTGCTATCCCCTTGCTAGACATTACCATATTTACCCCTTTGGATTTACCCCAGTCTCTGTCAAACCTGCAAGCAGGTAAACTTTCCTCACAGTACCACCCTCCTTCTACTTCTAGACACATTCTGTGTCTCATCCATAAGATTCTTCTCTGTCTCTTGTTACTTGGCTGGAGACTCCTAATGCAAATACGCTATATTGTGATAACGTGCTCAGCTTAAGAGTCCATATGCATGACTTTGTCTTCTGACCTCAAGAGGCAAGAGAAAAGCCATGGTACTAACAATACAAAGATACGATGGCCCATTGGCCAGAATTTCACAGGCCGGCCTCTTTTTTGATAGGGTGAGGTTTGGGGGAACATAATAGAGTAGTCAACTTTTCATTCGGCCAGATAAATGTAGAAGGCTGAAATTTTTCCTTCTCCAACTCTTCATTCATGCATACATTTATTAACAAGTCTAGTAAATACTCTGCTGTAAGCCCTAAGGGTAATAAGCAACCTTACAGTCAAGTCACTAGACGACTATAAAGGTCACACATTCTTCTTCCTAAAATTCCATTCTTCCCTTCACTTGATACCTCTGGTTACCTTCCAAAATTCAGGGCAGAGTATAAGCAGATTGTCAGTCATTCTTGTTGGCAATAATTTAAAAAACGGGTTGGAAGCCAGGAAGGGAAAAGGAGGTGAAGAGGAAGCCCTGGCAGTAGAGACTGATGCAGCGCCGCCTTGGGCCAGGTGTGGGGAGCAGTGCAGACAAAGGGCACAGCCTGCCCTACAGGGGTGCCAGCCCAGGAGCGAAGGGAGGTGAGAGGCCTCTGTGCTCTGGCTTTGGCATGAAGTAGGTAAGGGTGACGTTGAGGCTTTATAACCCTGATGTTAAGCCTTGAGGGAAGGTAATCATTCTCACCTTCATGTAACTGAGTAGTAAACTACATTTGGCCAAAGTTGTGCCTTTAGGACTATAGCCAAAGCAAGACTCAGAGCAAATCAATGAGAGAGGCACTCACATTGCACCAAGGACCAGACACAGAAAAAGCCTTCTTGGTGTACATAGTGTCTGCATCAACGAAGCAATATAAATTTGTAAGAATCTCCTTCAAATTGCTGGCAAGGGAATTTGCAAAAGACTCTAGTAAGCAAAGCATAGTGAAATGGAAATTAATTGTACAGTACCCATTACATTTAATATGCCCTTGATAAGCTCTTTGTATACTATATTGTCTAGTGTTTTATTCAATGAAAGTGAAAATTACCTATTAGAATTTTGTAGGTTTTAATTTAATTTTATCTTATCTCATCTTGTTTTATTTTATTTTATTTTATTTTTTGGCCATGCCACGCAGCTTGTGGGATCTTAGCTCCCCAGCCAGGGATCGAACCCGGGACCACTGCTTTGAAAGTGCCGAGTCTTAACCACTGGACCACTAGGGAATTCCCTGTAGATTCATTTTTAACCATGGTCCCCCAACTTTACTCCTTCTAGGTGGCTTTTCGTTTCTGAGCCCCCAGTTCTCTGGCTGAGGGGGTTTCAGTGATGTAGCACTTGGGTTGGGGAGTGTGGTAGGCAGCCTCCAAGAAGACCCTTCCTGTTGTTCACACTCCTGCCGGGTCCCTCCCGCACTATATCAGAGTTGGTCTGTGTGACCAATAGGATACAGAAGTGACTGGAGTTTATTTCCAGGATTAGGTTTTAAAACACACTGCAGCTTCCATATCAAGTGCTTTCTCTCTCACTCTCTCTTGAATCCCTCGTTCAGGAAGCCGGCTGTCATGTCACGAGGACACACCGTGTACGGAGAGGTGCATGAGGCAGGGAAACGAGGCTTGTAGCTGAGAGCCAGTGAGGAACTGAGGTCCCCAGCTGTTACTGACCAGGGTTCTTGGCCTCCTTCATCAATGGAAATTGATCAGAGGCCAGACAAGAAATTCAGGCAGGGCTTTATCGGGGCCCCTGCTGCAACCGGGGGGAGCGAGAACAAACCACAGGTTTCCTTGCTTGCCTGCTCCCCAAGGGGACGGCATGGGGGGAGGGGAGAGGCGGGTGCAGGGCTCCGGCCGGAGGGCTGGCTTAGGGGGCCTGCCCACCCTTTCGGTGGCGGTGTGTGCAGGGGGCATGCGCAGTCCCCTGCTTTTGCTCCTGGCTCCTCAGAAGTGGCAGTTGGAGTTTTGGTCTCTTTGTATCTTGTTGTCCGTAACTTGCTCTAACCGCCTTGCACGCAGTTAGTTTTAGTCTCTTATAGTTTCTTTGTATTTTGTTGCTCAAGGAGACCTTTGTCCAGGTGCAAGTATTGCAGCACTGCCGCAAAGGGCCCCAGGTCCCAGGTCCCAGCCTGTCTCATAACAACTGTGTGGTGCCCTGCAGCATGGCAACTCCAGCCCCAGTCGAGCCTCACGATGACCGCAGTCCTGGCTTGACTACAGTCTCGGGAGGGGCCTGAGTCAGAGCCACTCTGTGAGCTCACTCCCAGATTCCTGACTCTCAGAAACTGTGAGAGATCATACAGGTCTGTTGTTTTAAGTTCCTGAGTCTGGGGGTGATTCACTGTGCAACAATAGATAATTAATACAGCGAGGGGAGACAGTATTTATTCCTGCTACCCTTATTTTCTCAAGGAGTCCCTCCTTCCTTCTGCGGGGAGAGATGTCCAGGTCCCCAATTATAGGGGTCGAGGCATCCTCATTTCCTTTGCTGTCATTGTTACACCTTTGTTATCCCCTGGATGTTTGGACATGTGGATGAGGAAGTACACACAGAATCTACAGGACGACACAGACAGTTCTTCTTGTCCCTGTCCCAACTGGGAGGAGTATGAAAAGAATTTTTGTGCACATGTAGGCTTTAGAAATGGGTATAAATAAGAAAAAATAAACTTTATTTCTTATTACAAAAGCAATAATATATGTGGTATAAAAATTTTTTAAAAGCAAGACCATTAAGCACCCATAATTCCAATATGCAGGTATATCCAATAAATGCTGTTAATAATTGAAGCATTTCTATCTCTATACATTTTACACAAATAGCGAATATAATAAGTGCTAGTTTGTGACTCGTTTTTTCATTAAATATATTGTGAACCTGTGTTTATGTCATTAACCTATTAGGTCATCTACAATTATACAGTTTTTTTAAAGAAAGAGAATTTATTTATTTTCACTTATTTATTTATTTATTTATTTTTTTCACTTATTTATTTTTATGGCTGCATCAGGTCTTAGTTGCAGCAGGTGGGATCTTCATTGAGGTGTGGAGGATCTTTTGTTGTGGCGTGCGGGCTTCTCTCTAGTTGTGGTGCATGGGTTTTTCTCTCTCTAGTTGTGGTACATGAGCTCCAGACCACGTGTGCTCTGTAGTTTGTGGCATGTGGGCTCTCTAGTTGAGGCACCCGGGCTCAGTAGTTGTGGCTTGCGGGCTCAGTTGCCCCATGGCGTGTGGGATCTTAGTTTCCTGACCATGGATGGAAGCTGTGTCCCCTGCATTGGAAGGTGGATTCTTTACCACTGGACCGCCAGGGAAGTCCCTACAATTATAATCTAAAATGACTGCATAGCACTCCATTATACAGATACCATAATTTTTTAAGCCAGTTCTTTTTTTTTGCGGTACGCGGGCCTCTCACCGTTGTGGCCTCTCCCGCTGCAGAGCAGAGGTTCCGGACGCGCAGGCTCAGCAGCCACAGCTCACGGGCCCAGCCGCTCTGCGGCATGTGGGATCCTCCCGGACCGGGGCACGAACCCGTGTCCCCTGCATCGGCAGGCGGACTCTCAACCACTGCGCCACCAGGAAAGCCCCTAGCCAGTTCTTTTTGTTGGACATAAATGTATTTCTAGTTTTGCTCTTATACGAAATGCTATAAGGAATATGTTTGTAGCTAAATATTTGTACCTCTCCTTGACTTTTCCCCTGTGGGATTAAATTATTAGAGTAGAATGGCTGGCTTGAACACTTATACATTTTTAGAGCTTTTCCTACATATCGCCAAATTTGCCTTCCAGAGAGGTCTACCACTTTATAACTTATTCATGTGTCTAATTCTTCATTCCCTTGCCAGCACTGAGCAACTGTTTTTATCTTTCTGGCCTGGTATCTGAATGGGTAACACAAGGATTTCAGGAGAAGTCTAACTCACTTACATCCCGAAATTGTCCGCATCCACGAGTGTGAGCAGGCCCCGCCCCAGCCCGATGCCTTGTCAGGGGCGAGGGGAGTGAAGCGATGTGCTGAATGTCTGTCCCCAGCTACGCTTAGAAGGTGAGGAGGGCAATGCTGGGACTCATACGTGTGCGTTCGGGACGTACGGAGGACAGCCAAACATGAAATATTCAAACCCTTTGGTCCGGTAATTGTGCTTTTGGGAATTTAGCCTAAAGAAGAATCTCACTGAAAGGAAAAAGGTTATATACTTGAAAACCGTTTATTGTAACATTACTTATAGTAGGGAAACATTATAAACAACTCAACAGAAGAGAAATGGTTTGAGAAATGGCTTAAGAAATTGGGGTCTATCAACTTGATGGAATATTATGCAGTTGTTAAATTAGCAATTATAACAACTGTGTAGAAACATGGGAATGTATTCATGATATAATATTAGATGCAAAAGAAGGTTATACAGTTTTCGTATTTAAAACGATATACTCGTTAAGTCCACGTAGGCAAAGACTGGAAAAAAGCATAGAAACTGAAAATAGTTGTGAGAGAGAGTGGTACCCCACGTTTGGAATTTTTCTTTAAAGTCATCGTTGTGCGATTACAAGGAAAAGTAACAGTTTTGAAAGAGGTGGGAAGAGGTTCATGGAAAGAGGTAAGTGAATGTGCTAGAGGGACCGTCATGGAAAGTGCTGAGTCAAATATGAGGTGTGGAAAGTAACAAATATGTTACTTAGGGAGGCTTTGCTGAATATTGGAAAGAGCGAGGCGCTGCCGGCCAACAGAGCTCGGCTGGAAGCCAGGCTCCACTTCATACCAGAAACATGAGCCCAGACAAGTTAACTTCCTGCAGGTTGGTTTACGTAGCTGTAAAAATGGATGAATAGTGCCCACTTGTGCAGATGTTGGGGGGGAGGGGAGGCTGTATTCTGCAGGAAGGTCCGCGGTAGGCGCTTGATGAGGGGCGATGATTATCAAAAGCGATGCTGCTCTTCTGTATTCATCTTTTCATAATTATTGATACTACAATAGAGAGAAGGAAGTCCAGCCAAGAGGAAATACTTGCACATCTATTTCTGGCAAATGTAAACCACACGATTCTGTCCAGGACAGAAGGGAGTGAGTGAGTGCAGACTCTTATCTCAGCTGCATGGTTATGGAGCTAACTCAGCAGTGTCTCTACAGCCTCCCCGTTAAGTGATTTATGTGGACACTTTGACTGATGATGACATAGTATAAAAAATACCGCAAAACTGCCAACCTTCTGCTGTGTACCGCGGCAGCAAAACTGATCGTGAAAAGGTGACGGACAGAAAGAAATTTCGGAAAACCTTACATCGTATCTATCCCTGCGTTATTTTTAAAAAATGGATTATACAGTCTAATTTGGGGTGTGGGGGGTACTCAGTGCCGGCTCTTGTTAACGCAGTGGTTTGAAATCAGCCCCAGAAGAGCAAGCAGCACTGCAGTTTGCTCTCTGTGATGTCAAGACCGTTTGCCAATCACATCTGGATTTGCAGCATCTCTAGCACCAGGGAAAGCTCAGAAGGTGGAAGAGAGAATGGCCTGACTTACAGACGCTCAGCAGAGAGACTCAGTGGCCACCTGATGCAGAGAAATCCGTGACCTGAAAAGGTCCATCTGTCTCTCTTCGGGGACGGGGACAATTTCTCAACTGTACCCACCCCTTTTGTAGGGAAAAAAATCAGCACCTTGTTTGTACCGAGTCCTTTCCGACAAATTCCTTGTCATCTTGAGAACCCTTTTCCTTCTTCCTCTTCAAAAATCTTTCAGCAGTAACAGCAGCTCAAATAACTGGAGTTATTTCGGCATTAAAATACAGGCTTTGTGGACCTCTGACGCAGACAGATGCAATTTCAAAGGAAATTTCTTCTGCTGGGTATTCAGTGTTACACAGGGATTTGGGGAGTTAATCTTCACTGTTTCTGTTGTCGGAGAAAAGGAAAGAAGAGCTACTCTTTCTAACCACTCTTCCCTGTGGGCCTCTGGCTCCTTTTGTACCCTGGAATTATGGAGATGGAGGAAACCCGGAGCGGTTATCCCCCCCAGCCCCTTAAGGCGGGCTGGGCTCTCCTTAAACCTCCAAAACAGATGGTTGTTGATCAGAGTTTTAAAGATCCCGGGGTAGACATTCTGCAGCCTCCCTTGTTAACTGGTATCAGTGCTCAACCTGTTTTCATGTGAATAACTTCTTTTTTTTTTGTTACACCAACAATAGTGGAAAATTTTAAATTGCAAAACTCTGTGCAGAAGCTCCCATAAATCACCTGCAGCCATGTTGCTACAGTTTACATTTACTGCAGAGACAGCTGGAGTTTAAGAGCCGGGGGTTTTTCTTTGAGAGAGGGTTACAAGTACAAATCAGTCCTATTCCTCCTGGGGCCAGGGCAGCTTCCCCAAGGGTCCTGCCGTCAGAGCCGCAGTGAGGAAGCAGGCCCTTGCCTTATGCCACGTGTGTCCTCAGCCTCCGGAGGACAAACTCCCCGCTGTGCTCTGCTCCTCTGTGGGTTGGGCGGGAAGCCCTGTGGCTCATCAGGTGTCTACTGGGGACCAGGCACACCAGGGTCTGCAAGACTCTCTTGGATTAAGGGTCGGCAAACTACAGACCAGGGCCCACAACTGGCCCGCTGCCTGTTTTCACAGAGCCTGTGTGATAAGTTTTTTTTTCTGTTTGTTTGTTTTAAACTTTGAAGTGGTTGGGAAAAAATCAGAAGAAGAATACTATTTTGTGATGTGTGAAAATCATAGGAAATGGAAGTTTGTGTCCATAACTAGCTGTATTAGAGCACAGCCTTGCTCCTTCGCATGTGTCTCCTTCATTACGCCTGTGGCTGCTTTCACTGAAATGGCCGTGTTGAGCAGCTGGGACGGACACCACTCTGTATGCCCAGCAAATCCTACAGTATTACATCTGGCCCTTCACAGAGAAAGTCCACTGACATCTGTCTCAGAGCCTCCCATATCACCTGCGGATCCGTCTCCTTGCTTCCCCCATGGTAACCTGTCCTCATCGACACTGCAGCTGCCGCTCCAGAGACAGCACACCCCGGACGCCGTGGCTCCTTCCCTAGGCTGCCAGGTTGACCTCGGGGCTGGGGGGGAGCACAGAGCAGGAAGTGGGGAGGTGTCTGCCCAGCTGTTTGCCATCATCTTTAGACTGAGATTATCAAGACTTGCTGCTTTTCAGCTGTAGGGTCTAATCCTCATTCTGAAGAATTAAAACCGACAGGACATGGGATGCAGGAGTCAAGGACAGCTCCTCTGTTTCGGCCATCTGCTACCGTGTGTGGAGTAGGGGAAGGGTGGGGAAGGAGAGGTTTGGGCAGGGACAAGGAACCCTCGAGACTCCGCTTCCCATGGACCAAGTTTGTGATCCGTCGAGAGGACAGTTAGACTACTGGTCACCTGCGTCTGGGATGGAGGTCTGGATTTGAGAGTCATCAGCAGGCGGATGGTGCGGAAAGCCTGGGTAGAGGACGACATTGCCAAGGGGGTGAGTGCGGAGAGAAAGAAGAGGTGTCAGGACTCATCACAGGCCCATCAACGTTTAGAAGTCAGGTGCCCAGCAGCGGATGCAGGGCCTGCACACGCCACGTGCTCCACAAATTACGTATTCACTCTGTAAGCGAATTAGAATTCCAGTCGACTAGAATCATCCACTCCCTGTCTCTTTCTCATCCTGCCTCGCCTTCCCTTTCCTTCTGTCTTCTCCTTTCTTCTCTGTTATGTGTTAAACGCATCGGGGAGCACCTAGGCACCCTGGCCACCCTTGGGCACCCTTGCTTCCCTTGCTACAGCTCCGGGTGAAACAAGTGATGATCCGGTGAATTAGTCGATAGAGAATCTCCTCCTTTTTGTCTCCATAGGCTGTTTAAAAGAAACGTCACACGTGTTCGTGTCGAGCCCCACTCACCCTCTTTATGAACTCTGTGCTTGGTTAATGCTATTTTGACTTCTGTTCCTTCCTCTTTACTAATGCCTCACAACTTGGTGTCATCTGTGATCTTAATTCGGAAGTTCTCAGTTACATCACTGGGGTAAAGATAGAGATGCTCAGCGTGAGCTCCAGCTCTGACATGTGTGAGATCACGCAGGATGCTTCCAGGTTGAGGCTGAGTCATCGATAAGCCACTTCTTGGGTGATATTATTCAGCTCTTAAGAAAGAAAAGAGTCTTCTTTCTTTCTACCTCATTGATGAAAAGTCATTGGCAATGGAATCTAAGGTCATACTTCAGCACAGAGCGATTACATCTCCTGCTCATTCCTTATCTATATGGCCTACCTATCATGGAAGAAAATTAAATTGGCCTGCCGAGCTTTGATCTTCACATACCATCGAGGTGAGTGCAAATGGATTGTTTGTTGTTGCTGAACTGGCTCTTGACACTGAAGAGAAGTGGACTTGTATCGTGACCTGCGTGGGCGTTGCATGGGGTGGGACCAGGGGAATCAGAGAGACCTAGCAAGGCTCAAGGTCATACTCTGCACCAGGCATTATGCCAAGTGCTTTACAAAGATTTCCTTATTTAATATTTGCAACAGCCCAGAGAGGTTGATATGGTTGTTCCTGTTTTCCAGTTAAGGAAACTGAGGCTCGGAAGGTAGAGGATCTGGTGCAAGGCCACAGAGCTGGTTGGCAGCATTGAACTTGAACTTGAACTTCAAGTCTTTCACACTGACTCCCAGCAGTTATGGACTTGTGCTCACCTGAACAGGATCACATTGTGGGAAAGACTATCTTTAAACTCCTAAGGCTTCAAACATTGCCCGGGCACAAATGACTTCAAAGTTTATAATCTGCCCTCTGCGCCCTAGCCCCCATCTCCAACTGCCTCCTGGACATCTCCACTTGGATCTCATTCTAAAAACTACAGCTCCACGTGTAAACTCAAGCAATGATCTTCTCTCCAAAACCCAGGACCTCCCCACCCCTCCCATCACTGTCCTGTGCGTTTCAGTGGTGCAATATTCTTTCAGTCTTCTCAGAATCAGAGTTATTTTTAAGCCCCTCCCTGCAGATTCTTCCTCTGAAATATTTCTTGCCTCCATCTCCCGTTTCTATTTCCACCATCCTTTTTGCCGTGATCGCCGAGGGCTTAGATTACTGCAACAGCTAAATACATCTTTCACCAGCTGTTATACTTAAACTCTGTTTAATCAAGTCAGTTCCTTCCGTGAAAGGATGGCCCTCGACTGTGTTTGCATACTGGAATTACCTGGGGAATTTAAAAAGTACTCCGAATTATATATGTTTGGGGTCTTCAGCATTACAGCGCTGAGATATCAGCATTGCAGGAGCCACGTCAGGGTTCTATGTACCTCGGAGACCAAGGATGTTGTCCTGAGGTTCTGGGGATCAGACACAGTCCCCAGGCATTAAGGAGTTGTGACTCGAATCACACTCTTGTCTCTTTGGACTGGATGAGGGCAAGCAGGCTTGACTGCCAATAAAAAGAGTCACGTAGGTAAAGCTTAGCATTACTGCAGCCCCTACTTTCCAATAGTCCCTCCAAAAGGTATCTGCTGTTTTCCAGTGACTGACTCAGGTGAATGGTGCCTCTGTGAGGTCTTGGACACTCTCATTAAAGGGCCATGCTTCAGACTTGACAGTTTCACAGTTTACATATTACATATTTTCTGACCAACTTTCACAGAATTCTCTGATGGAGGAGACTTGGTTAGCAAATCTGATCAATTAATCCAGAATATAATGGCTTAATGCAGTGTTTTAAAAGTTGTGTTCCATATAACACTAGCACTATAGGGTGCTCAAAAAAAAAAAGAGAGAATTTCATGCCCACATAATCTTAGCAAATCTCTTGAGATGCACTTTAGCATATTAAAGGCTCTGAGAAGGTCTGCATTCAAAACTTTAGTTTGAATTAGTTTATTCATTACTAATAAGTTCCCCAAACTTATTTGACCATGGAACCTTTTTATTTTCAAGTACCATATTCCAAAATTAAGACACCAGTGCCTATAAGATGCATTATGATCTCAGAGATATTGAAGAGAAAAATGGTCAATGATGATTATATGGTACATCGATTATAACAAACATCCTGATTTCAGAGATGTTAAAATGTGAAAGATTGTACATCTTAGTCTTAAGTAAATCCAGTAATACGTAGTAACTTCGCTTGAGACTAGGGTTTTGTGGAATGCCTCGTGGGGAATTACTGGGCAAGAGAGCTCTATTTTCCCAGGGGTGTTCTGATTATGCTCCAGTGGTAGAACGTGGGCAGTGTGGTGAAGTCCAGTAGAGGAGGCATTTGAGGGGAGAAGGGATTTCCAGAAGCTGCCATTGGTCTATTTTCAGGAAGACCGGCCTGGAAAGAAAGGGACAGGGTCCTCATTGCCAGAAACCTAGGGTCTGACTGACTGGCAGAAGAACACGATGGTCCAGTGCTGAATAGAAGAATGGCAGAGACTCCAGGGGAAGGGAAAATGCCTTTACCACCTGGCTTTCAAACACTGAGAGAGCCTCTGGCTTGCCCAGTGTATCATGGAATTGCAAAATGTTCATTCATTGATAATCAGGTGGCAGGGGACGGGAGTAAGTGCTGGATACCAGCTATGCCTTATTCTGGCTGTGCGAATTGGCTGAGTTTCTTTACCTATCTGAACGTTAGTATCTTAATACGTAAGTCAAATTATCATAATAATAACCACCGTCAGATAGATTACATTCGGGCTGTTTGCAACAGAAGGTTGACTATGGGGGTTTAACCAAGTAAGGCTTTCTTTTCTTTCACACTTCTCAGGAATTCCAGAGGCAGGCATTGGCGGGAGGGTTGGTGACACCAGGAAGGTCGCTTTTTTCTTCCTGCTGCGCAATCCTGAGTGTGAGGCTTTCGTCCTCACGTTCGTGTCCTCTCACAGCTACGAGGTAGCTGCTCTACCTCCCACTAAACTCTACATCCCAGGCAGGAAGGTGAAGGAGGGAAAGGAAGAAAGGGCAGCCCCCCCAAACTGTCTCAGAGATCCCTAGCTGACTTCCAGCTAGAACCCAGTGGTCAGCATCCAGCCACACGGTCACTCCCAGCTACGAGGGCATCTTAGTGAGCGAGTGGTAGCGGGCACTTCGTGAATAAAACTGGGATTCTGTTAGAAAGAAAGAAGACGAATGCAGATCCTGGGTACGTAGCTAATAGCATTTGCCACAGATGCTGACCTCTCAGGTGTGCGTTAGATACTCATAGCAGAGAAAACACCCCGTGCCCGCCCGGGAGTAGACGTGCAATGGATATTCTTCTTCCTACATTCCCCGCAGCAGATGATGGTTGATCTCTTCTCCCCTTTCTTCACAGTTGGAAAATATGTTGTAACGGGTTGTCGTACCACAAGGCAGCATGTGACCTGCAACGAAGAGGGAGTCAGAAACCTGTCCGTGAGTCCTTTGGCCCCTAAAACAGTGGAGAAGGATGGACAGGACGGTTTGCAAAGGAAGCCCGGGGAGGAGGGGATGCCGACTTGTATCTGGGACTACAGAGCTGTCATCAGTACAATGTTCTGTTTCGGTTAGAGAAGCCAGTGTCTGGGTCACAGTCCTTACCTGGAGCGTGACTCCTCTGTGCCCCCCAGCGGGGGCGCTGCAGGAGCTATCTGTACCACTTTATGACGCTTCCCTTATTGTCACTTTCCTGTGCTCCTGACAACCACACTATAAACTCCTTTAGTACAAGGCCTGCCCCTTTGTTTACCTTTGTCTGCTGCAGTCGCCACCCTAATCCTCCCGAAAGCTCAGGGCCTTTGAGAGCCAAGCCAGGTGAACTGTGGAGTGTGAAGCGGGCCTGGGGTAAAAAGGAAGGGCACCCCGGCTGGTACCCACCACCTGCCCAAAGGGGCTCATGTTTAAATACAAACCAAACATTAGATCAAGCAGTGGCTACTAACCTGACTAAAAGAAACACAATTTATCTGGTGCCTGCCTATAGAAGCACTCACCTAAGAAGAATTCTTGTCAGAAAGTCAAACCCGAATCTGATCAAGCTTCTAGATATAACTACCAATTTACAGGAAAGAAAGGAAATAGGGGAACACGTGAAATGATACCACAGGAATGCAGTTAGCAAGATGCAGACTGTGGGAAGCCCTACAGGACAAAATGACTCAGTTGCTACAAAAGAAATTGCAAGCAAAGTTAAACACTGGGAGGGCAAACCTATAGACTAAGAGAGACTTAATCAACCAGTTGCAATACACTTTATATGCTTCCTGATTCAAACACACTGTAAAAAGATATTTGAGACAATTAGAGAAATTTGAACACTGAATTGCGTAGGGAATTATTATTTTCCAGGTAATGATATTGTGGTTATGTTTCTGAAAGAGCCCTTATCTTTTAGAGATGCATACTGAAATGTTTTAGGGATAAAATGATGCTAGAGATTTGCTTCAGGATAACACAGTGCGTGTGGAGGCGGGTGGATGGGACTGTGGATGAACTGATGCTCGCCAAGGAGACTGATCGTTGTAGAAGCAGGATGGTAGGTGCATAAAGATCATTGTCTGCATTGCTCTAATTTTTGCTTCATTTGAAGTGTTCATAATAAAAACAGGGGGAAAAAAAGGCTAAAAGAGGAAAAATCACTGGGCCAGCCAGCACAAACACATGGCAGCCAGAGGTAGATTTACCATGAAGCTGGTGAAAGCCCGTTTTCAGACCTCTCACCACACAGGCCCTTCCAAGAGAATTTTGTGTTCGTGCTTTTTCTTAAAGAGGGGTCTCCAAATTGTAAGCACTTCAAGCCCCACAAAACTTGGATCTACCCCTGATAGCAGGCAACACTTAACCCCTGTTGTAGGCATTCAGTAAATATTCACTGATAAAAATTTAAAAACACTTCTTAACGAAGACTTTCAGACTTACACAAAAGTAGACATATCATATAAAGAACCTCACGTTCTGGGGCTTCCCTGGTGGCGCAGTGGTTGAGAGTCCGCCTGCCGATGCAGGGGACACGGGTTCGTGCCCCGGTCCGGGAAGATCCCACGTGCCGCGGAGCGGCTGGGCCCGTGAGCCGTGGCCGCTGAGCCTGCGCGTCCGGAGCCTGTGCTCCGCAACGGGAGAGGCCACAGCAGTGAGAGGCCCGCGTACCCAAAAAAAAAAAAAAAAAGAACCTCCTGTTCTTTTCCCCAAATTCAAGCTATCAACATTTCCCTATATTTGCTTCATATTTCACTTTTTCTTTCCTCCTCCTCCTTCCCCTCCTCTTCCTCTTCCTTCTCTTTCACCCCTAAATACTTCTCTCTGTTTCTCCATTTTCTTTCGTAGCCAGAATATCATGATCATATTGAACAAAATTAACAATAATTCTCTAATGTTTTCTAAGGCACAACCCATGTTCCAATTTCCCTAAATGTCTCAAAACGATTGGTTCTTAAGCAAAGATCTCCAATTAATGTCGGAAAGATGAAATCAGAGCCATTAATGACTTCTCTGCCTCTTTGCATTTAATGTTTTTTTTTTTTACTGCACCACTCGGCATGTGGGATCTTCGTTCCCCAACCAGGGATCGAACCCGTGCCCCCTGCGGTGGAAGTGCAGAGCCTTAACCACTGGACCGCCAGGGAAGTCCCTGCATGTAATGTTAAAGTCACATATCCCCCTTCTATCATGCGTGGGAGTGTGTGAAAATATCGACTGAGCCTGCCCTTTTTGTGAAATGTATTGTGCTTAGAAAGTTAGCAGTTGTATTTCTCAATGGCCACTAAAGGTGAGTAAGCAAGACATTCACACATCCGCTAAAAGAAGAGCTTATTTAAAATATAAACAAAATGACCCATACCTTTGCACTCTGTTCCTTGTTTCTACCAATAACAGCTAGCGTTCTGCCTTCAGTGTGACCTTTACTGTTAGCTCTGCCACTCTGTAATTATCTAATGTTTCACATATGCTTTGTATCCTATTGTTATGGACAAAACTCTGTCTCCCCCAATTTATACGTTGAAGTCCTCACTGTCATGTGACTGTATTTGGAAATGGGACTTTTCAGGAGGTAAGGTTAAAATAGGTCATAAGGGTGGGGCCCTAATTCGATAGGATAGGTGTCCTTATGAAAAGGGGAAGAGACACCAGAGGGCTCACCCTCCCTCATAGAAGAAAGGCCATGTGAGGACACAGGGAGAAGTCAGCCGTCTGCAAGCCAGGAAGAGAGGTCTCACCAGACCCCAACCCTGCTCGCACCTTGATCTTGGATTTCTAGTCTCTAGAACCGTGAGGAAATAAGTTTCTGTTGTTTAGAAAATAAGTTTCTATTGCCCCCAGTCTGTAGTATTTTGTTATGGCAGCCTGAGCAGAATGGTACACTGTGTGGACTGCAGCGTGTAGAACAGAGTGCGTATTCTACACAGAACCCTAAGCATACCACACTGGAATAGTTTGCCAGGCATAAGAAGATGAAGGACCAGTAGTAAACTGCATGTGTGTGCACGTGCACACACACACACACATCCTCAAACAAAGGGCAAGGAGGAGGAGGGAGGGGAAAAGCCCATCTGATCTGAAATGTAGGCCTTTACGGAGCTTATGAAGCACACTGCCTCTGTGGCATACAGACAGAAAATATACCTCGGAAACCATTCAGGAGTAAATAGACTTGTAAATTGATCACTTCAGGGGGTTGGATTAGAAGGGGAAGGGTCACTGTCAATTTTGGGGGACATGCACATTTTGAGGAGAATGAATAAGTGAATGGGGAACACTGAACGATAGATATCAGATCTGGAAGGAATCTCGAGAAATTATCCGGTTCAACAGTTGAAGATGAGGGTGAATGCTGATGATGAAGGGGAACACTGATTTCCAAGTGGGGGTGGGGCTTCCCCCCCAGATGGGTGACGTGCTGGTCCTGCATAGAAAGGGGTGAGGGAAGGTCACGATTTTAGAGGTGATGAAATTCACGTGAAGATGCTGGCACGTGTGGGGAACACTCATATGCCCTCAATAGCTTCCACAGGTGATTCAGTGAGGTGATGAACGTAAGAGGAGGCAACGCGTGGGCTTGGAGCTTGGACTTAAGGGGTGAAGGGGCTCCCTGGATCCTTTGACCAGGATGACCGATTTACTGTCCACGCAGGGAACATGTGTGAGCGAGTTGGATGGGTGGGCGCCCTGCCACTGACCCTCTGCTTTCTGGCTGGAGATTCGTTTAAGGTTTCTCTGACTGTTTGCAGTGTGGACAGGCACTTGTCCTCTCCCTTTCAAAAACCATGAAGGAAATATGCCCTCCTCAGGGCCTCCTGGGGAGCCGTGAACCAGTCAGCCTCTGAAACTGGAGAAGCAGGAGAGGCCCTTGCCCTTGGGCGACACTAGTGAGCTGGGCAGCTGAGGCTGAGTTTGATTCTTTTCTTTGCGGTACAGAATCTGAGAGAGAAGTTTTACTGTGTCGGTTCTTAGGATGAAGGGAATATCTTTTCCTAAACGGTGCCAACTTTCTAAAACAGGCAGGAAAGTACTTGCCCCAGGGCCCAGGTTTAGAAATTAACAGTGTATTGAGAAAGTTTAAATTTCTTGAAGTCTGTTTTTTAAAAATCTCCTCGTTTTAGAATTAATTCCCCTTGCTCACAAATTAAACTTTGGAAAAGCGTGGAGGAAGGATTTCTGCTATTATCGTTCAAGAAGTTCACACATAATTGTCGAGAAGTTTGAAGAGACTGAGCCTTTACCCCACTTGCACGCTAACAAGTTAGCGGCTACAGTTTCATGGATACGGTAAAGACAGGAGACTCCTGGGTCAGGGAAGGCTGTTTATTATTCACAGCCATAGCGGTAGAGAGTATCAGCACTTTTGGGGTACCAATCTCTCAACCCTCAATTCCCAGAGGGCATTGCAAAGAGGGCTGGATTATACCTGCTCCTGCAGTGGGTTGCATTTCAGGAGAGGAATCCTGAGTTTAGGGAACCTGAATCTTTTATAAAAAGCAACAGGGATATAATGCCCTTTGCTTCAGCGATAGACATTATCCCTATCTTACAAGGATGTGAGCAAACCTGCATTTTGCTCCAGAGGGAGACACTGTCTCTCTTTATCAAGGCTGGTCATTACATAAACATCCTTCAAAATATAGTCCAGAACAAACGGCAGTCAGTTTCTCTGCTCAAGATGTGCAGGAATTTGAAAGATCCGTGAAGAATTATACCCCTACAGGAATGTCTTTATAAGCTTAAATTCTTAATAAGTGGAGTTGGAATGAATAAAATTATCCAGTACCTTATTTTTGCTTTTACCCCAAATTGTCTACTCATTTCTCCCTTTTAGAAAAAGTGATGTTGGAGAGTTTTATTAATATCTTGTCATTATTGATGTCCCCAGAGCAGAGAAACTTCTTAAACACTGTGGGAGTCTTGGTACGCCATTGTCTCTGCTTTAATCGTTTTAACTTTGG